AAAAAAAAAAAAAAAAAAAAAACCCAAAAGTTGAATCTACTAGTAAGTGAACACCATCTTGTAAATCAAGTTTAGAATTTAAAATTTGAGACTAATATTTAAAAAAATTAATTGTCTTAAATACACCAGATGTAGAGATTGAGTCCTTAAGAAGTTAAGATTATTTGAAATTACATTAATCTTGAGATACACAAAAATTAACTTGAAAAACCTTCACAACAATCAAATTTTTTTTTAAAGTCATTTATAATAATTAAATTTCATTATAATATATGGATTCCTACATTGACAATGTTATTTAAAATCATAAAATCATAGGTACTTAATGAGAATTGCAATAAAGTTCAATAATTTTGACATTTGCCCAATAATTTTTTTTAAATGGCAAAATATTACAATAAACCCCTAAATTTATCTTAAATTCTCAATTAAGTTCTTAAATTTTTAATGAAGCAAAAAAAACCCTAAACTTGGCGATTTAGACAATTTAATCCCTCTCATTTACATCAAACTTAATGTCTATTTGTACATCACTTGCAAAAGTAAAATATTAACATGTAATTATCTACATGATAAGTATTAAACTTATTCATACAAATAAAGTGTGTACGGATGTTAAATATGCCATAAGAAAAATGGTTAAAATTGGTTAAATTGGCAAGTTTATGACATTATTTATTAAAAATCAGAAACTCAATAAAATTTTTTTAAAAAATCCTCTGATCTGCCGTCAAATAGATGGATCGGGTGAAACCGGTAACATAACCCGACTACCCACTACCCAGTCCATATCCAAAACAATTCATATTCATCCCGAAAACGCTTTCTCCTTCTTAGGTGCTTTATTTCTCTTCTTAGCTCTCTCCTGAAGTTCTGCAGGGGAAAAAGGAAATGTCAGTCCTTGTGGTGACGAGTTTAGGGGACATAGTCGTGGATTTGTATACGGACAAGTGTCCATTGACCTGCAAGAATTTTTTGAAGCTCTGCAAGTGAGTGTTTGTATCCTTGATTCTTCTAAATTTCATCTTAAATTCTTAAGCTTTTTGATGATAGGGTACTGAGTTTATTTTTTGGATGATTGTGGTAGCTTCTAGAGCGATTTTGGTTGAATCCGTTTCTGGGTTTGTACAGATTCACCGGTTCTTGGCCTTATGATCGTTTCCCTATATCAACCATGGCCTGTTTCTTGAGTTTTTTCGAGTTTCATGACTGAATTAATCCTGGGTTTCAATCCTTATGATTACATCCTGCTTCTTCTTATTCTTTCCTCCTCGTTTTTGTTGCAGGATTAAGTATTATAATGGCTGCCTCTTTCACACGGTTCAGAAGGATTTCACTGCCCAGACTGGGGACCCGAGTGGAACTGGGTCCGGTGGTGATTCAGTGTACAAGTAAGAAACATAGGATGTACCCATGACTAGTTTTGTTTATTTCCCAATCTTGATTTTGATTGTTCATGCCTAGAATAGTTTATTCCATAAGTTCTTTTTTACTGTCCATCTTTTTGAGGTATTTTTAATGTGATGTAATGAGTCCAAACTTTTTTTTTTTTTTTTCAGGTTTCTCTATGGTGATCAAGCTCGATTTTTCAGTGATGAGATTCATCATGATTTAAAGCATTCTAAGACGGGCACTGTTGCAATGGCTAGTGCTGGAGAGAATCTTAATGCTTCCCAGGTAGGGGATTCTTTTGGTTGATTGAATGTATCCAAATTGTTTTCCTGCTTTATGTTGTTGCAGAAGGTAGTTCATTTTCTATCAATAATTAGACTCTAACAATATGAGTCATAAACTACTGCTATGCATGCCAGGAAAGGCATTCTAATAATATTTATGTGCTCATGAAATGAAAATTCATAATTTTCAGTTCTATTTCACACTTCGGAATGATCTAGACTACCTTGATGGGAAGCACACAGTGAGTATCTTAATCCCTCCGACTTTTTTTTTTTTTTACAGTCACTTTCCACAGATAATTAATATGTTTTAACTTTCAAGAAAACATATAAAAAAGAATTTTTATTCAATGATGATTTAGAAACTGAAAATGGATAAACACAACTTAATTGCTTCTCTCTGGGTTAATACAATAAGATTTTACAATTTCATTGGAAAATGCTCAATTGCCCATCATTGCAGGTTTTTGGGGAGGTTGCTGAAGGGCTTGAAACTTTGACTAGGATAAATGAAGCTTTTGTTGACGAGAAGAATAGACCATATAAAAATATCCGGTTGGTTTAAGTTTCTTTTTCTGTACATAAAAAATGTGTAGAGTACTTGGCTTGTTGTTATTTTAATTAAGATGAATTTATTAGAGGATCATTAATTTATTAATCCTTCTGATCATATGTTGAACAGCATCAGGCACACATACATATTAGAGGATCCTTTTGATGATCCTTCTCAGTTAGCTGAGTTGATTCCTGAAGCTTCCCCAGAAGGAAAACCTAAAGATGAGGTAATGGTTATTGTGTTAAGCTATTAATGTAGTCTATCTTGAGAAGGTTCACGTTTAATGGAGAATAGGTGATTTGTTTACCACTTGAAATCATTAGTTTGTACTATTATATGGTAAGGGAGTATTCAATGCGTCAGATAGAATAGAATGCTTAGTTATACAGGTTAGCAATTTCAATCTGGCAACTCACCATATGGATTATTGGATGGATTTTGATGCTTCTTGTATAGTGGTAATAGACAGTTGCAGAATTAAAGTTAAACTTGTTTTATACATTTTAGATTTGCATATTAATCAATTGAGAAAAAGTGTGATTAGATTATAAACTGATATTGGTGTAAAAAATGACTAATACAAGATGGAGTGAAAGTATGTTAGGTGTTAGAAAAGAGTAAATTTGGCTAAATTTCAAGGTAGATCTGTAATTTATTCAGATAACTGATACAATATTGCTTTTGGAAAGTATCATCTGTTCAGTCAAAATTTTTTTCTTAACATTGTAACTGGATTTTATTTTTCTTTTTTGGCCTCCAACACTCTAAATAGGTTGAGGATGAGGTTCGGCTTGAAGATGATTGGGTTCCCATGGATGAGCAATTAACTCCTGCACAGCTTGAGGAAGTTCTTAGATCAAAAGATGCACATTCTAGTGCAGTTGTACTTGAAAGTGTAAGAATTTCATACACATGCAATGATCATGTTATTTTCTGTTTGAATTGACTTTGTCTTAAGTTATTGTCTTGTCTGTATTCCAGATTGGAGACATTCCTGATGCTGAAATAAAGCCTCCTGATAATGTGCTTTTTGTTTGTAAACTTAATCCAGTCACTGAAGTATGTGCTTGCTTTTTTCTGTCCATTTTTCCTTGAAGATGCAACATTGATACCAAAGCAACCAAACAAATAACTTTTACTGTCTGTCATCTTAACAATGTTTAATTGCTCACATAATTCTCCAGGATGAGGACTTGCATACTATCTTTTCACGTTTTGGAACTGTGATCTCGTAAGTGATACCATTTGTTAAATTTTGGATTATGGTGCCTTAGAGATTTGTAAATGTTATTGTCATTGTAAATAAATAATTATAGGGCTGAGATAATCCGTGATTACAAGACTGGGGACAGTTTATGCTATGCTTTCATAGGTAAGTTGAATTTCAACATTATGCTAAAATGTTCCTTATTCAGTTATTTGCAACATAAAGGATGTCATGTTTGAGGTTTTTTTTCCCCATTTCCCAGTGATATTGCCTCTGTTTTGTGGCTTACTTTTAATTCCATGAATAAGGTGTGGAATTGTTTTATAGACCTCAAAACACCCTACCCTCTAATTATGGTTTTTCTCATGGTGTAACTTTAAACATACATCATAAATATGATTTCACCTCTGCTCATAAGTTATGTTTTTAAGTGCTCAAGTTCTTTAAAATTGAGCTTTTGAAACCCAATTTTTATAAAAATGTGTGCTAGGTTCTAATTGCCCAGAAAATTTTTAAAACTTACTTAAGAAAAGAAGAGAAAAATAAATTATGTTCTATATTTTCCTTTTATTTCTCAAAATTTCCTCGTTTCTTTCCTTTTTAACCTATTTTATTACCTTCTTTATATTTTTTATTTTTTTAACAACAGAAGGCGGTAGCATGCATTTTTTAGGTCCTTAACCTATATTCAATTCAAATTTGACTTGTAATATAGTTGAAATTGTGAATTAGTGGGTTAATGATTCAGTGATTCTTTTGACTGACCTTAATATTTAATATACTTTTATTATATTTGATATCAGTTATATTCGATAAGTATCATTTACATTTTTTTTTCTTAGTTGATTTACATAGTCATTATTGTGTTATTTCTTGATTTTAGAATTTGAGACCAGAGAGGCATGTGAACAAGCCTATTTCAAGGTAACCTTCATCTTTACTCTTTTTCTTCTCTTTTCTCTAACAGTGTGGACTTGTTTGGTTGGAGAATGACTATTCCTTGTTCAAACCATAAATACAAGGCAAAATTATGAAACTTAGTTGACAAGTTCGGAATAGGTAAGCTTTAAGATTTGATAATTTTCTTTGAGATTAGGGAATAAGCAAGTAATAGTCATTCTTAGGGTGAGCAATGATAATACCTTTTCATTACTCATCCTGTAATTTTGTAGAAAATGATCAATCTTTAGGTTTATCTATTTCTAGCTTGTCAAGTATCTTTCTCAATTTTGCCTTATTTTTATAGTTTGAGTTTGACGAGGAATAGGTATTCTTTCAACCAAACATGATGCACGAGTTTTACTTCTTGGGTATTGAATGACAAGACATACTTCTTTTATCAAATGATACATATGCAAGTGTGTAGAAATGTTGATCTAGCAGTCTAGAGTTCAAATCCTTGTGCCTATGTTCTTGCTATTAAATTCAGTTTGCAGGGGTGTGCATGTGGTTAGTATATTGACAAACATGTTCAGCTTGCAAGTCTGGAAGAAATTTAAATATTTAAGTTAGAATCTTATCTATTAGATTTAAGCTTTTAGGTTGAGATTTTTGGTGTATTAGTGGGAGGATTTTAATAGCCAACTTGGACATTTTCTAGTTAGGCAGTTATTTTTCATCTCACCATCATGAGAGAGTAATAAATGACTTCCTAGCCCTTATATCCAAGAATATTTTGGATCATGTCTTCCTCAAAATGCTCATTCATCTAATTGTAAATAGAGTTGCAATTCTCATGTTGCGGAGTCTTATGTCCACAAGGTAGTCAATTATAAGTGTGATTCTCTGCTGTTTTTGTAGTCATAGAAAATTTGCATGAGTTGGCGCCTTCAACCTGGCATTAAAGAGAAAATCTGTATTCTTAAGTTTTTTGCTTGACTTTGTGTTCTCTGTCTTCTTTATTATATAATCTTGTAATATACCTGGCACAAAATGCTCTATTAAATATCCATTCTGTGGTGGCTTTGTATACAAACCATATGGTATGGTAATTTTATATGCATAGGCTTTTTGGATAAATTTTGACTAGGTTTCTTTTCCTCAAAAGGAAAACAATGTTACGCATTCTGAAAAAATTGCACAAAATAAAAAGTAAACATTACTATTTTTCCAATAAAATATTTATGCATCTTTTAACAATTTTTTTTTTCTTTTCTTGTTGTGGAATTTTGCTAATTTTCTTGATCTGATTTCATGGTTTTGTCATGGCAGATGGATAATGTCTTGATTGATGATAGAAGGATACATGTGGATTTTAGTCAAAGTGTTGCAAAACTTTGGTCCCAGTACAGGCGCAAGGATTTCCAAACGGGCAAAGGTAAGGGTTAAAGCCTCAGTGGAGGCATGGAACAAAACCTTTTTAGGTGTTAATGATATTTTGTTTCTTTTTTATAATTTTCATGCATAATATTTGGAAGGATGTGATAACCTCCCACGATGTCTTACTAACTTAGCTGCAGACTTGTCACAAAATAACTTAGCTGCCGATAAGTGTTGATGGCATTTATTATGTACTTTTACATGCGTATAATTGTTTGATAGGGAATAACAAAAAATAGGCAATATGCACATCTTTTCCTTTTTCCCCTTGAAAATATGGACACCTTTAGTTTGGTTTATTGCAAGATGAGCCTACTGTCTACCACCCAATTAACTAGCAAACCTGTAGCTAATTTTTGCTGCTGCTCAAGCAGCATTAATGTCTTGGGAGTTGGTTGACTCTTGAGATTTGAGATTATTGAAGACTCTAAAGAACTTAGGTGGTCAAATTTTTGATGCAGTAAATTGCACATAACCTGAAAAGGTGAAAGAAATGAATGCTTAAATGAGATGCATCTACATAATGTTGGGCACTTGAAGATAAGTGGACTGGGGACTTCTTGAATTAGGTCCAATGGCAAACCACTCTTTTCTTATAGGTCTGAATTATATTGATTCTGTGGTGGGAAGCTAAATTAATAGGAAACTTGTGAGTTATTAACTTCTAAATTTTTTTTAGTGTCTAAAAAGCAAAAAAGATCACTGCTTAAGGCATTATAAGAAAGTAAAATTGTTTATGGCTTCTTATCTTCATGTGTGTCTAAATATAATATGCCTTTTCCTAAGGCTTTTTCTAGATTACCTGAAACTAATACATTTTGATTTTAAATCACTGCTGTAGGTAGGGGTTGCTTCAAATGTGGTGCCCTTGATCACGTTGCCAGGGATTGTACTGAGGGTCCAGGCAAATTGCAGTCTTCAAAATACATCTTAAAGGATGATAACACACAGCATGGTGGAGACAGTAACTCAAGGTTTGTTGTAATTATGTGTTATTGTGGATGTCCCTTTCTCGCTCTATTCCCATCCTATCTCTTGCTTCACCACTTGTCTCCTTGTTCTTTTTCTGACATTCTTGGGACTCTTGTAGGTATGAGATGGTATTTGATGAAGACACTCCTGATAGTCCAAGGCGAGAAAAGAGGCAGCGTCAACATGATCATGATGAACGTGAGGGTAGACACAAAATGAGTGGGCGTGGTTCTGATGACTTAAGAGATAGGGATGAAGAGAAGAAAGAATTAACTAACCGGCACAGGCAGAGAGACCGAGGTTCAGAATACAGAGAAGATGGGAATCGGCCTAGTGCTAGAAGAGATGAAAGCTATCTTAAAGAACGGAATAATGGAGAAAGGCAGGTGGAAAGACAAAGAGAAAGAGATGAGCCAAACTACAGAAAGAAAAGTGGAGATACTGCTGGTGGAGACAGGAGGGATCATGGGGATCTCAGAAGAAGCGGAGATCATTACAACCATGCAGACAGGAGAGATGGAGATTACAAGAGAAGAAAAGAAGGTAATGCAGACAAGAAAGATGAGGGAGATTACAGGAAGAGAAGTGATAATGATGATATCCAAAGGGATAGTAGGGGTGAGAGAGATTATAGGAGTGAGAGACGGGATGAAAAGAACGAGACATATAGGAAAAGTGGTGCTGTTGAACACGGTTATAAAGACAGGAGGGAAGATCGATCACACAAGCATAGACAGGTAGAACGTGAAGATGACCGTGATCGAGGTAGAAGGCACCGAGATTATGATCGTGAGCTAGATACAAGGCACCGAGGTGATTATGACCGGGAGCAAGATGCAAGGCACCGAGGTGACAGAAAGAGATGAAGTTCCAAGGAGCATGAGGGCTTGATCAAATGCTACTGTTAGCCTGGAATCTGTTTTACAGACCCAAAAATATCTTTTAGAATGCAATTCAGTTTGTGATCTTGGTTGTAGTTTCAAAATATTTCTGTTTCAAATTTCCTCTTTCGTCACTTTTTTTTTTTTAAGTACATCAGATTCATAATAACTTCTAATCCAGAGTTAATTTTTGGTGAAAGTGTATTGGTTCTGAACAACAAATATGAGGGAGGTATTAGTTTCAACTCTTAAAGAAAGATTTTTAGCGATTATAAATTCCTTTTTTAATAAATTAAGAGGCAAAAGGTTATCCTTTGCCCCAAACTCCTTTTTTTTTTTTTTTAAGAACTTTTAGAATTTGTTTGGTTTAAGAAAAATAATAAAGAGGGAAAAAAACTTTATTTAATTACTAACAAGGTTTAAGGGAGGTTAGGGAAGAATCTTCCTTTCTTTAATCTTTCATTTATTTATTTAATTTCCTTAAATCATTTTAAGTTATCCAAATAAAGGGAGGAGGGAAATGCAAAAATATTGCATCCTTAACATACCCTTAATGTCGGTTTAAGTGTATTATTGGCTGTGATTAAAAACAGGTATTTTCTTAAGGTTTGGGGCAAGTTTAATAATTTAAAATATAAATAGGTGGACAATCTAGTTAATATTTAATAACATACATACTCGAGTTAGAGGGTTAGCCCTTTTGAAGGGTTAGCTTGAACATGCAAGAAAATGTAACTGATAGATTAGCATGGAACTCTTTGGTTAAATCCATTAACCAAAGGATAAGATAGCCCACTCGTTTTCCTTTCTTAAACTCTCTACTACCCACCTTAAGATCAAAACGTCCAATTTGGAATATGGAATATGAATCTCTTAGATGCACTAAACAAGAAGGGACTTGGAGGGGAGAAAAAGATTGGAAAGGAATTCTAGTTATTGCTACATAGGTCATACTCAGATGCACCAAATAAAAATACAACATCCTTTTGGACAACTTTCATATGACCATGCATTATTACATTTCGCTAAAAGATTATTCATGCCTGCCTATTGCTTTTGTATCGCTACTCTTGAGAGACTATTTCACCCTTCTTCTCCTCATGAAAAGTCTCTTTCCAGGTAAGTTATTCGCACAAGAAAATATGCTTATTTTTATAAATATTTTTACCTATTATATCCCGAGAATCAAGTACGTCCTCAAGCAAGAGTTTCACCTCAACCATGATTTTCTGGCACGTCTACTATGATCCCTCTACATGTAACCACTGGGTCCATGCTGTTCCAATCTAATAAAAATTGATCTTAACAGTGAGATCCTGGTCCATAATCATGCTAGTTCCCCGGTGGCAGTTTGTCAGGTGGACGATTGGCCCATTGAACATGATTTGCTAAACTCTGGTGACTGATAATGATGGCCAGCATCATCAGGTATTGGTGATTCCCCTTCTTCCACATTATCTGTATCTGGTTTGTACGATGACTGCCTCTTCATTTCTTCACTTTTTTCATCTCCAGCATCTTCTTGTAGTTTTCTATCGTGCAAGTTCTTAAATTCTTGTCTTTCTGGCAGTGACCAGCTCTGCCTCTTAACCCCACTGTATTTCTCACTCTCAGCAGCCAGTTCAATACCATCTTCCAGTTGAGAAGAGGATTGATCACCTTGTTCAATATACTTATCTTTCAGCTCCCCAAGATCTTTAGATTTACTTGTATTTATTTCAACAAATCCAGTGGACCCAGATCTCATTTTGCTTTCAGCTTCCCCCATCTGATGAGACGTCTCTGGTTCAGCCTGTTGATCATTTACAGACCCACTATATGATATGTTAATAAGGGCACTTTCCATTCCTGAGCTTCCATGCTCGTTACTTTCACTGGCAGTGTCATCGTCAGCAGAAAATTGATGATGATTAAAGAAGGATTCTTTTGAGGTTTCAAATCTGGCAGATACAGCATGCTCTTTGTTTTTAGGAGCTTTTAATGGTGGATTCACAGTCATGCCACCTGAACTTCCTTGAACGTCACTAGCTTGTTCATATAGTTCCAACATTTGACTGCTAACTTCTGTACAGAACATGTGCCCTCAATCAAAACTGGTAATCTACTTGTTCACAAGGCCGGACATTATGACATGACTTACAGGAGTGTGACTATTATATGCCGCTTTGATTCTACTAAAAAAGAAGAAACTACCATTGTTTCGTGTCAATACACCAACAATAGAAAGGTAGGGATGGGACTAACCTTCCAACTGGCGTGGGGTAATATCAAGCTCCTGCCACCAGACCCTGTTCGCATCAGATGGAAGCTTTACTTTCAGAAACTTTGCAGCAAGGAAAATGGCACCAGCAGCAATGTGGTGGGGTTTAAACTGCAAGCAAAGAGATGTCCGCAGTCTGCATACCATATTACCCAATCAAGAGGAGGCCATGAAAAGACACTACAAAAGGAAAGCCTGCATAATGCAGAAAACCTATCATACCCATCATTGATGAAATTCCATGCAACTTGTGCAAGAGAATTCTGAGCGACCTTAAATTGTTTTATTGCCACAACAAGGGGTTTATATGGATGTTGCACATTTATATCAAAACCAAGAGTTGTGAGAACAATCCTCTCTCCAAGTAAAATTAATTCTTTCTGTTGATTGTACACCTCCTGTGATGTAGAGACAAACAAATGAACAAAACAAGCCTTGGAAAGTTTGAACAATAATAAGAGAGAGGACAAGACAAAACGGAAGCAAGATATAACTGGATCTGGATCAATCCGTCTACTATTTCTAGAAAAGCATGAGAAAGATGCCAAACAACAGCACAGGAATCAATGGCACATACAACTGACATCAGTGACCAACATGTGATCAGTAGAGCTAATTTGAAAGATGGGTCATAAATTAGTCATTGGACACTGTTGGGATATCTGGAGAAGAAATTAATCCTAATTATCATGACAATTTAGAGACAACTGATTTTGTTGGCTCAAATCAGTGGCATCAAGATGCACCAACTCTCTTACACCTTAAGGATGCTTCAACAAGATAGTGCTCCATTCCATACCAAGATTAGAGGCAGGGTATGTTCATATTGGTTCAACCATGTAACTTCTTTAGGGCAGACATGCCACTATTATTATTACCTCTAACAGTACTTGTAGGTTTCTAAAAAATCAGTTTTATGCCTTCTTTTTGGCCAAAAAATTAGTATCGTTGAAACTTGAAATTGAAATCAAGGACAGTAGAAAAATATCTTGCAATACATCACCAAGGAGGAAACCTTACCTTCTGCTTGATCTTCTGAGCTGCTTTAGGATCCTTATTGTTAATGATTTCATAAGATTTTTGGATAACTTCCCTCAGTGGACGTGGAGTCTCTTCAACCTTCCCCGCAAGAAACATACACGCTGTAGCTATAGTCTGCAAGAATGATATAACTATTGAAAACCAGGTGCCAAATAGAATGTTTTTCAGATAATCTAATTATGATGAAAAGGAATAAACACGGAGAAAGATTTATTCAAACAATTATTGAAATTTAAGAATGCATTAGAATACACCTCAGGAACACTGGCAAGCCAAGTACAGGATAGTTCAAAGCTGCATAATAAATGATAAGTCCAATGAAGGGAATAAAATCACCAAAAATGATGCAGCTCATTAAAAGTATCATTGGCACCTACTTCATTTTCTAATGCAATCTCAAGATATTTTATAATACACAGGTAACAACAAAATTAAAGTGTAGTAAAGAAGATTCACTGACCCTTCTATCATTCTTTGCATGAGATTGATGAAGGTAGAATCGGTGACAAAATACTATTGCAGTAGCAATAGTTATTTGGGGTCTGCAATATATTCATCACAATAAACAGATTGTTATAACTTCATCAATCATAGTGGATATTCAATACACACAATACTTTCATTTAAGAATAAAAACCACACAGAGTAACAATATTCCTAGCATAACAATGTTATTCAGAATCAGTTAATAATTCTACTCCAAAAATTAATTTAGAGGCAGACATATTTATCACATTAATAGTACTTTGCTTCGCAAAATTGCTGTCATAATTCCCTTGGATCCCTAATAAAAATGCAGGAAACATGAGAAAATATAAAATTGGTTACACAGTATATATAAATTAAACTGAACTTTATTATGGAGAAAAACATAATCAAAATTGGCAAGCTTCATATTTTATTGATGATAAGAGGTATAAAAAGGCCCGAAATAAAGACTCACATGTCAAGTCTCTTGCCCAAGTCTTGAAGAAAAATACAATATGACTTGCGCAAGTCTGCTTCTTTCTTGGGGTCAATGCCATCCCTCTTAGAAGGTGAATTTTCTTCAATTTCTTTCCTAGAATAATACCAACGCCTACCTTCCTCGCGTTGTTTATCCTGAGAGCAATCCCCGTCATAGGGATCGCCAGACACTAATCTAACCATAGGCAAAGATTTCCCCTTCAAAGCCAGAAACTAATAAAATCACAATTCAGGAGGATAATAGGCGAAAGCAGAATTCACGGAACTTAAAAGTATAACAGAGAGAGTATCTGGATTGATTGAGAGAGAGGCGCAATGTGTTTGGGATTACAGTTTTGCTAGGGTTTATACTTATATAGTGACATAGGGACAGTATTTTTG